ATGAATAGCCAGAAATGGAATTACTGGATTATATGGTATTGCTATTTTTAATTTTGGAGGAGGTGTCATACAGTTTCCTGTAGTGATTATACCAATTTACATTCCCGCCAGCAGTGTACGAAGGATCTCTCTTCTCTACATCCTTGGCCAATGCTTGTTACGTTGTGTTTTTTTGATACTAACCATTCCAACAGGTGTGAAGTGATAGCTCATTATGGTTTTAATTTGCATTTCCCTGATGATGAGGGATGTTGAGCATCTTTGCCTGTTGGTCTTCTGTATGTCTTCTTTGGAAAACGTCTATTCAGATACTCTGCCCATTTTAAAATCAGATTTTTTTTGCCTTTAAGTTATAGAAGTTCTTTATATATTTTGGATATTAATCCCTCATCAGATATGACTTGCAAATATTTTCTCGCATTCAGTAGGTTACCTTTTCATTTTGTTGATGGTGAACCAGTTCTTTTGGAATCTGATTTCTGCCACAAAGCCTTACTCTTTTTCAATAATGACTACGGAAACCTTCTTGATGTGTCTGCACTCCTAGCCCTTCTGTTGATCCCATGTACCTGGATTTTCTCACTTAGGCTCAGAAGTCTCCTTTCACTGCCTGTTCACTTCTCCCCTGATTGAAGGACAGGGGCCCAGGTACTCTGGGAATAGAAAGAAGTGAAGGGGGGTTTGTATTTATTTCCTGTGGCCATTGTAACAAATTACCACAAACTGGCTGGTTTAAAACAACACAAATTTATCATCTCACTGTTCTGGAGGCCAGAAGTCCAAAATCAGTATCATTGAGCTGAAATCAAGGCCTCAGCAAGGCCACGCTCCCTCCAAATGCTCTAGGGGAGCATCCTTCCTTTGCCTCTTGCAGCCTCTGGTGGCTCCTAGTGTTCCTTGGTTTGTGGCCATGTGGCTCTAATTTCTGCCTCTGTCTTCACGTGGTCTTCTCCTCTTGTGTCTGTGTGTATGTCAAATCTCTCTCTGCCCGTCTCCTATGAGGACACTCGTGATGGAATTTAGGGCCCAGGATAATCTTCCCATCTCAACATGCTTAACTTAATCATATTTGCAAAGACCCCTTTCCCAGAGAAGGTCACATTTACATGTTCCAGGGATTAGGGCCTGGCATCCTTGGGGGTTCTTCCAAGCCACCCCCAGGCAGTGTGGAGGCTTGCAAGAAGGCAGGAGCAGATTGAAGGTGGACACTCCGTCCACTCCCTGGAAACATAACCCCCAGCGGCTAAAGGCTCATGTCTCTGTTTCTTTCTCCAAGGGCCCAGAAAGGGAGATGGATGCCATACAGGCCAAGGAGGAAATGAAGAAAGCCCGTGAGGAAGATGAGCAGGAGCAGCTGGTGGGCAGGTTTGGTGGGCAAGAAAACACTTTCCAGAGATTTCACAGGAGGGATGAACTTTAGTCATTCCCACCCCAGATAAAGATGACTGGTAAAATCTTGTTTCCACTTTAATCTACATGTAAAAAGTGCAAATGTCAACATATGTGGTAATTTGCCCAATTTTCTTTGAAAATGTTCCTATGCTTCTCAGTGGGGTTGGTCTGGTGTTCCCTGAGACCCACCCCTGGGCACCGAGATGTTTTCTCTCGACACACCTGAGTGCTAGAAGCCAGAGGCCAGTGGGGGTCTGGCCAAAAATATGATGCTCTTTTCTTAGCTCCCAAAATGTTTTATAAATAAAAGTTGGTAAAACTTACTATGAAAAAGGAGAAATGATGCCTTATTTCTTCAGGCTGCAAGTTACTAACAGCATATGCTAACCTTTTCCAATATGAAACCTTTGCCCAACATCATTCGTGTAGAAAGTTTTGGCAGGTTTCACTGGCATACTGGTTATTTTGGAGAACGCAGGTCTGTGTGCACAGACTTTTGTCATGCCATAAGGAAGCCGCTGCTTCTTTTCCCTCACACTGTGACCCACTTCTGTGGCCTTTTATTCTCTGTAAGACAGGGGAATGAAATTCATTTTCTCAAGTGAAAATAGTCATTATTTCTCAGTTCAATCTTTTTGGCTTAATCATATAATTTGCTTTTTAAAAGTCATACTTAAGAGTCTTCTGATTTGAAGATGCCTTTTTCCACACAGAAATTTGTGTTGGAAGTAATAAAATTTAGGACACCAGGAATCTGGAACCCAGTGATATTACAAATAAGCTGATACATTGGAAATTATATATGACACATTGCTAGGTGATCCATGTGAAAAGTCTGCCCATGAAGTGAAATACTGGCAAGTTTTGTTCTCACTTTGGCTGAAGTTGGCAGCCCTCCAAATGTGGACTTTTAAAAAAAATACTTTATGTATTTATTTTTAGAGAGACACACATGGGAGGGGAGAGGGGGAGATGAAGAAGGAGAGAATCTCAAGCAGGCCCCCTGCCCAGTGCAGAGCCTGATGAGGGGCTGATCTCATGACCCTGAGATCAGGACCTGAGCCCAAATCAAGAGTCGGATGCCCAACTGACTGAGCCAGCCAGATGCCCCTAAATGGACTGACGGCTGACGGTTTATTGGGGGTTGGTTATCACTCTCAGAAATGAAAGATTCACTTCCATGTAGTGCAGGGTTGGGATTCAACAGTCTACCCCTTTAATCTCTGAAGGGTGTAAGAAGTTACTGAAGAAAGAAGCAGGGCCAGGCTTAGAAAATGCTGGAAACATTGTATGAAGATGGGTCAGACCAGCTCAGATCCTGCAGAGCTCATCTTTGGAGCAGTCCCATCCTGGAGAACTTTCGGTGAAGACGGAGATGTTCCCCATTTGCAGTGGTCAATACAGTGACCACTGGCCACATGTGATCCCTTGAAATATGGCCGGTGGGACTGAGGAATGATTTTTAAAAAAAAAATTAATAATCATTGGTTTTAGAGTTGTTTTAGGTTCACTGCAAAGCTGTGCAGAAAGCACAGAGTTCCCATATACCCTCACTCCTATACCTATACCCACACATCCTCCCCCACTATCAGTGTCCCACAACATAGTGGTACATTTGTCACAATTGATGAACCTGACACATCATTATCTCCCAGAGCCCATAGTTTACATTAGGATTCAATCTTGGTGTTGTACATTCTATGGAGGAATGGATTTTTAATCTTATTTAATTGTAATTCAAATTGAAACTTACTTGGCCACACGTGACATGTGGCCACCACGTTGGACAGTGCAGCTCTGGACTCTGGCAAGAGAGGTCACAGATGGTGGCTCACTGCCCAGTGTGGTGGCTACAGAAGTAAGAGGGAATCCCAGGCCGCTAGCTGGGTGGGACTCAGCACCAAACCTCTGTTTCTAGTCAAGAGGATGCAGGAGAGTCTCCGTGGTCACTGCCTCTGTAGGCTCTGACACTAAGGTTGGAAGCCTATAGAAGACATTTCACAGATACCCTTGCCCACTGGTTTCCCGTCATGTTCCGTCAGAAAGAAGTGGGCAGGCAGGCGGAGAGGAGAAGCCATTTTTTCAGGCTTCTGCTGGCACCTGAGTCAGTGGTGAGAAAAACAGCAGTGACTTGAGCGATCGCGAAACGGCAGTGGCTGATGAGAGCCGGCATCTGGGTTCCTGCTCAGGGCCCAGTGATGATGGGTTTTGGGTAACACCTTTTCCCCGTTTGGCCTTTAGCCCTAGAATGGCTAGCAGCTTCCTACAGTTACTAATCTTTAGGTAACCTTATATTCCTGTTCCGTTTTTGCCATACTTTTATAATCATTCTCCTATATCAACTGTCCTCTGTTGGAAGTGTCTAAGAATGACTTGACTTTTCCTTATGGAACACAGACGGATAAAGCACTCCACTCAGCTAAAAGCCTCCATTTCTGCACCTGGACCATCGCTCCAGCTTTCCAGCTGGCCCACTCCTGTCCATCCATCGGTGCTCAGGCTACTTTGCCTGCTGCATTGAGTCGACGTTCTAGAACACAAATCTGATCATGTTCAAAATCCTCTGGTGGCCGCCCCTTGCTTTTTATATAGGGAACCGAGGAGTGATGGAGCATGACGAGACTGAAAACTTGGAGCTCAGACAGCAAGAGTCTCAAGACAAGACCAGATGACCATGGTCTTATCTCGTTGCTCTTCACTCAGGGGTGTCTCATGAGACCAGCAGCAGCTTGACTCCATAAATGGAAGGGGTGGACAGGAAGCTGTGCACCACCCCTGAGATCACATGCCTTCTAGCTTGCCTGCCTGGGAAGCGGTGCCTGGCCGGACTCACTTTGCGGCCATCACAGGAGGCCAGGTAAGGGAGGCCCACCTGCCCTGAGGAAACCTTGTGCCGCTGTGGTCAGCTGCCTGGCTGGACCTTTCTTCCTTGCCCTGTTAGTGGAAACTGGCCACAGATGAGTGTGTGTCCCTAGCCAATGGAAGACAAAACGTCGAAAGAAATAAATGCCCCCTCTGGTACCAGTTCTCCAGCAAACCTTAGGGGCCTGCTCTGTGCCAGGCAGTGTGAGATGTGGAGGTAGAAGTACAGCAAACACATATTACCATCCCCTCTTCTCAGAAGGGGACTGGGGGCTCAGAGAAGGTACATAAGTAACTTGCCAAGGTCATCCTGCTAGAAAGTGAGAGTTGGGAAATTATCACACACACACACACACATCCGCCAGCCACCCCCACACACATGCACCCTATCCTAGGAACAGGGAGCGTTGTTGGGTACGGCGAGGTTCCTGACCCTCTGCAGGGTGGTCAACAACCTCCGCACAAGGCGTCTGCCAGGCGCACGGGGAAGGGGACGGCAGCTAGCACGTCATTCCGCCGGGGGCCGGGCCGGGCGTAAGGGGGCAGAAAAGCTTGGCGCCCACTCGGGGGCCCTGCGCTCCTCCCCGGCCCCTGCCCCGGCCCCGGCCCCGCCCCCTCTCGGCCCGGGCTAGGTGTGCACGGCCCCGCCCTCGACCCCGCCCCTTTGGGTTTGGTCGCGCGTGCGTAGCCCTGCCTCGGTACGCCCCCTCCCGGACTCAGTTGCGCGCGCACCGCCCCTCGCACCCGTGCGCACGCGCGGCCCCGCCCCCGTCTCCCCGGCGCTCGGAGCCCGAGTCCGCGGGAAGATGGCGGCCCCGCTCCTCCCGCTCTCCCAGCAGGTACGGGCCGGCGGGCGGGGGCGCAGCGCCGGGGCGCGGGGCGCGAGGCGGGCATCGCGGTGAGGCCGATGTGCGGGGAGGCCCAGCCGGGCGGCGGCGGCTCGCGCTGAGGGGCCCCCGCGGAGGGCGGGCGAGTGGGCGGCCGGTCCTGAAGGTGACAGGCCGGCCCGCGGCCTCCCGCGCCCTGGCGACCCTCTGCGGGCGGCGTACAAGGCGGGGTCGCTGTCTGTGTCTGTACAGTCCGGGGCCCGGGCCCGGCTGCACGCCCGGCCTTCGCCGCCGCTCCCTGGCCGGGCGATGCACGGTGGCACTGGGCTCTCATTCGGGGAGGTGGGCGAGGGGCGTGAGCTTTTCTGCCGGTGCGTCGACCCCGCGAGTCTTTGTTTCCTGACGGGTCCCAGCGCCGGGGCAGACAGTGTCCCCGCCGGGGTGGACGGCGGAGCCCTGCCAGAGTCAGGACCCTACGGCAGTGCGATCCTGGACTCATCCCTCAATTCCTTGGGAGCTGTTTCCGCCACCCTTGAATCGAGAAAGGGGGGATCGCACGTCTCCGGGCCCCTCCCTGTGCCCTCAAACACGCCTGGTGGTCTTAGTAAGGGGCAGTAACAGTGGAGCGACACATACGTGCAAAAAAAGCTTTGCGCTGGCAGCCCTGCTTTCTGGGAGGGGCGTTCATTCATTTATCCGTCAAATGTGCGTTAGTCCAGGTGCTGGGAGCGCAGCAGTCACCCAGACAGACAAGGTCGCTGCTCTCCCGGAGGTGACACTCTCAAGGGAACTAGAAACTACCTGTGCCCTGCTAATAACAGCTGCCTTTATTGACTGAATACCTGTGTTGTACCAAGCACAAGATTATAAGAATTTTGTCTGAATTAATTAGCACAGAGTTGGGATTAAGAGTGAGGACACAGGGTCATATCATCTTGTGTTTAGTTCTTGGCTCTATCACTTCTTCTTCTTTTTTTTTTTTTTAAGATTTTATTTATTTGACAGAGAGAGACACAGCGAGAGAGGGAACACAAGCAGGGGGAGTGGGAGAGGGAGAAGCAGGCTCCGGGAGCCGGATGCGGGGCTCGATCCCAGGACCCTGGGATCATGACCTGAGCCGAAGGCAGACGCTCAACGACTGAGCCACCCAGGTGCCCCTATCACTTATTCTTCTGAGTGTCCTTGGGTGAAGCTCTTAGAACTCATTTGGAAAATGGAAATATAAAAAAAATATTGGGATAATGTGAAGATTAAGTGTGTAAAGTGCTTAGAACAGTGCCTGGCACATCAAAGCACTCAGTGATACTGTAATTATTATCATTTAATTCTCTGGCAGATTGGGACATATGGGAATGTAGACCACAGCAGTAAGAATGCTAAACCTTAAGAGAGCTGATAGGCAGGTGGGCATGACTGACCAGCTGTTCTAAGGAGAGAGACATGCATACCTGCTAAATCTTGCAAGAGCTAGCCAATTTGTAACACTGTCACTAAATTAAAAGTATTAAAGACCAGTGGTTATTAATTAACATGTTCTTATAACAGGGGAGTGCTATGTAAACTAGATGCCATACAGATGTGGGGTGTTATTGCTAATAGCCAGTTGCTAACCGTTTAGGGTGTGTTTGTGTGTGTAGGGGTCGAAACTCGCTTAGGCTCACTTAATGAGAAAGTGCTTCCGGTTTGGGGGGGAGTCTTTTTAAAACTTCTATCAAATTTTGACAGTAGCCCTAATTTGAACTTTGAACATGACAGTGGCTAATGTTTATTGAGTGCTTTAGAGTTTAAGTGCTTTCTAACAGGTTGGTGCTTATCCACACAACATGGAGAGGGGAATTCTTATCTTACTGATGAAGGATTAGCTTTGGAGGAAGGCAGTGGTTTGCCACTGTGAGTTAAGGTATGGAAACATGAATCAGGTCATGTGATTCACCTGCTTAGCACCTTTCGGAATAAGATCCCAATTCCTTCTCAGGAAGCCTTGCTGGTCTGGTGCCTGCCTGCCCTCTCCCGCCTCATGCTTTCCCCGGTACCCACACTGCAGCCATACTTGCTGCTTTTCTGCTCTTCCCGCAGTCCAAGCTTTCTCTGTTCTCACGGTGTCCTCACTGGCTCTTCCTTCTTCCTGAAGTTCTCTTCCTTGTTTCTTCTCTTGGTGCTGTCAGTGCCTGGCTCTTTTCCCTTCTCCAGGTGGTGGCTCAGATGTCGTTCTTCCCAAACGCCTTTGCTGACCACTTGTCATAAATAGGGCCCCCTCTTCCATCCCACCAGCAGTGTGTTTCCTCCACATACCACTCAGCACCATTCATGGTCTACAGATGTCTGTTTCCCCATGAGACCAGGCACCCAGTCAGAGCAGGTGCAGACTCTTGCTCCTGTGGCCAGCACCCAGGAGTTGTCAGGTAAACGCGTGAAGCAGGACCCAGAGAGTTCGACCGACCAGCGCCATTTACAGGTGGCTCTTCTCTATGTGTGGGATGGGGCTAGGGGTGGGAGCAAAATTGAAGGAGGAGTTGCAAGAGGCTGACAGCCAGGAGCCTATGACAACTTTAGGTCGCTGACTTCAGTGTTTTTTCGCTGTTCCTTTATATGTTTGTTGAACGAAGGCACGAGTAGGTTTTCTTTCAGGTAGTTATGTCAACATTTCTCTATGGCTGTTCTTAGTGAAGTTCTGCACCAGGTGTTCCCGTCAAGCTAGGTGGGAGGTATAGCCCTTCAGGTGTTTTCAGCCCAGCTGAGATCACACGGATTCACAGATAATTACTGGGGAAGCATGGATGTGATTCCAGGATAATTTCTGGTTGGGGGCAGTCAGGGAGCCCCCTGGAGCATGAGGCTGTGCTCTGGTTGGACTGAGGTGTAGGGCGCACTTGGAACGTGGATGGCCTGTTGAAGGTGAATAAAGTGGTTGCCAGCAGGTTTGCAGAGGGGAGGGGGGGCAGTGTGTGTCCCCAGCACTTTTCCCATCAGCATCTTTCCTGGTCTGCTCCATACTCCTCAATATCTATGGCACCTCTTTCCTTATACAGTCTCTTCTGACCCTGAATACAAATCTTGCCCATTTGAAGAGTCAGGAGTCTGGGGTTGATTTCTCCCAAGCACAGCTCCCCTTTGCCTCTCCTATCCCGGAAATGCATCTGTGTTCCTCACCCCTTTTGTACCATGTGGTCTCTCATAAGCTACTGGTCATCATGCCATCCTTAACCCCAGTGGCCTGTCATTGGTCGTCCTTGAACCCCACAACACTGGTTACTGTAACCCACCAGTTGGCCTTCACTCTGTCTTCTGCATTCTTTCTCTCTGTCTGCTCCCGTCTCAGGGTCTCCCCACAGAGCATGCCCTTCCCCCACCAAGAGTCCAGCCTCCTGTTTTCTCCCTTGCCAACCCTCCATCCCACCCCCCACTGGCTGCCCACTGGAATTGGCCACCTCCTTACCACATCCACAGGTTCACAGGGCTGGGCCTGTCCCCCTTCCTGCTTAGCCTCTCCCTCATAGTTCCTTCCGCGCAACCACCCCCCTGCTCCAGAAAGCTCCAGCTGCTCCCATTTCGCTCCCCTCCGTATGTCCAGCTTGACTGCTTCTGGTTCAGCATTCCCACGCGCCCTGGGCCTGCTCCACCTCACCTTGCCGCACCATTTCCACCTAAGCCCTGGCTCTTCCCAGGGCTCCTCCGCATCCCCCCACCTCATGCCGTGATCTCCTGCTGCAACCTAGCCTACCTCCTACCCATTGCAGGCCACTCTTGGAGGCCTCTTTGGTGGTGTCTTCCCTCAGTCCCACCTCAATGACAGTTCTCCCTCCTGTACCTTCTGTGGGTCCCTTGCGTGGCCCTTGACCCAGGAAGCACATGGAAAATATTGGGCTCATTAATGAAGAGTGTGCCCTGTGCCCAAGGAGTTCCACCCCCTCCCCTATGCCACTGGGGCCCTCCTCCTTCGTCATGTGCTTCCTATGCCCAGGCACTTGAGATACATCATCTTTTTAATGGGTGCCAGGTTCTAAATTTTTATTCCCATTTTGCAAACAGGAAACTGAGACCCACAGAGATTTAAGTCACTTGCCGAAGTCCCATAGTTGGTGGGTCGACCCCACATCTGTCTGCCTGCAGAGCCCTGCTCTTTCTCCTCTTTCAGGCAGCCTGCTGGGCACCTCGCCCAGAGCAACACCCGGTGAATGTGTCTGCAGTGAATGCCAAGTGCTTGGGGCACTTGTTTGTCCTTTCGTCTCTTGTTTTTTTTCTCTAAAATAATTGCTACCCTTTCTGTCTTACTAGAATGCTAATGGTGATGTGGTATAAGTTGGTGAGTAGAAAGTCAGGTTTTAGAGTAAAGATTGGCCCTACCCTGTAAGATCCAGAATTTCTTGGCTCTTTATCTTATTGACCTGCATTGGCCTGGTTTGTGGACCAAGTAGCTACCAGTTAAGCAAGAACATGTAAATTTTGCTCCCTTTGCCCCAATTTTGAATTTTATTATTTTTTTAAAGATTTTATTTTAGGGAGAGGAAGAAGCAGGCTCCCCACTGAGCAGGGAGCTTGACGCGGGCCCCGATCCCAGGACCCTGAGATCATGACCTGAGCCGAAGGCAGACGCTTAACCAACTGAGCCACCCAGGCGCCCCAATTTTGAACTTTAAAGCAACTTTCCCATGCTTGGTTCTTCACCCGATCAGCTGCTCCGGGAAGTGGACTGTCTTTGATCAGATGGTACCCGAGAGCTGAGTGTCTACTCTCTGATGCCTCAGGCCACCTCACGTTATTATGCTGTCAGATGGACGCAACCACCCCCCCCGCCCCCGCCATGAGAGGCATCTCGACAGCCACGCTGGGGGTGCTTTCAGGGGCTCCCCACTCAGACCTCACCTGAGCAGCCAGCGTCCACTCGGAAGACTACTACACATTCTTCCTCAAAGACGACTCTCCCACCCCATTATCATTTGAGGTCCCTTCAGGGTGTGTTTTTCAGTGTTCGGGTCCCCAGATGTCCTTTCAGTACCCTCAGTTGTGCTATA